GACAAAGAAAGATTGCACAGACCATTCTTCATCTCTAAAATGCTGTCTTTGCTTGAGCTATTCTACATTCAATTTCTTTAATACATTTTCCATATGCTTTACCAGGGTATGCAAGTACTTAAACATAACAACTTGCTTGAGGATTGTCCTATTAGGATGACTGGTCTACAAAAATTTAAGTCTGGCGGTATATTTTTGATGGCTACTGGCGTGGAAAAAAAAAGTGCTTTTTACTTTTACCGGAGTAATATCTGGCTCTAATGATGTGTGAAGTGAGTAATGTTTGGCTCTAATGATGTGTGAAGTGAGTAATGTTTGGCTCTAATGATGTGTGAAGTGAGTAATGTTTGGCTCTAATGATGTGTGAAGTGAGTAATGTTTGGCTCTAATGATGTGTGAAGTGAGTAATGTCTAGCTCTAATGATGTGTGAAGTGAGTAATGTTTGGCTCTAATGATGTGTGAAGTGAGTAATGTTTGGCTCTAATGATGTGTGAAGTGAGTAATGTTTGGCTCTAATGATGTGTGAAGTGAGTAAAGTCTGGCTCTAATGATGGTGTGAAGTGAGTAAAGTCTGGCTCTAATGATGTGTGAAGTGAGTAATGTCTGGCTCTAATGATGTGTGAAGTGAGTAATGTCTGGCTCTAATGATGTGTGAAGTGAGTAATGTCTGGCTCTAATGATGTGTGAAGTGAGTAATGTCTGGCTCTAATGATGTGTGAAGTGAGTAATGTCTGGCTCTAATGATGTGTGAAGTGAGTAATGTCTGGCTCTAATGATGTGTTAAGTGAGTAATGTCTGGCTCTAATGATGTGTGAAGTGAGTAATGTCTGGCTCTAATGATGTGTGAAGTGAGTAATGTCTGGCTCTAATGATGTGTGAAGTGAGTAATGTCTGGCTCTAATGATGTGTGAAGTGAGTAAAGTCTGGCTCTAATGATGTGTGAAGTGAGTAATGTCTGGCTCTAATGATGTGTCTAAGTGAGTAATGAGTAATGTCTGGCTCTAATGATGTGTGAAGTGAGTAATGTCTGGCTCTAATGATGTGTGAAGTGAGTAATGTCTGGCTCTAATGATGTGTGAAGTGAGTAATGTCTGGCTCTAATGATGTGTGAAGTGAGTAATGTCTGGCTCTAATGATGTGTGAAGTGAGTAATGTCTGGCTCTAATGATGTGTGAAGTGAGTAATGTCTGGCTCTAATGATGTGTGAAGTGAGTAATGTCTGGCTCTAATGATGTGTGAAGTGAGTAATGTCTGGCTCTAATGATGTGTGAAGTGAGTAATGTCTGGCTCTAATGATGTGTGAAGTGAGTAATGTCTGGCTCTAATGATGTGTGAAGTAAGTAATGTCTGGCTCTAATGATGTGTGAAGTGAGTAATGTCTGGCTCTAATGATGTGTGAAGTGAGTAATGTCTGGCTCTAATGATGTGTGAAGTGAGTAATGTCTGGCTCTAATGATGTGTGAAGTGAGTAATGTCTGGCTCTAATGATGTGTGAAGTGAGTAATGTCTGGCTCTAATGATGTGTGAAGTGAGTAATGTCTGGCTCTAATGATGTGTGAAGTGAGTAATGTCTGGCTCTAATGATGTGTGAAGTGAGTAATGTCTGGCTCTAATGATGTGTGAAGTGAGTAAAGTCTGGCTCTAATGATGTGTGAAGTGAGTAATGTCTGGCTCTAATGATGTGTGAAGTGAGTAATGTCTGGCTCTAATGATGTGTGAAGTGAGTAATGTCTGGCTCTAATGATGTGTGAAGTGAGTAATGTCTGGCTCTAATGATGTGTGAAGTGAGTAATGTCTGGCTCTAATGATGTGTGAAGTGAGTAATGTCTGGCTCTAATGATGTGTGAAGTGAGTAATGTCTGGCTCTAATGATGTGTGAAGTAAGTAATGTCTGGCTCTAATGATGTGTGAAGTAAGTAATGTCTGGCTCTAATGATGTGTGAAAGTAATGTCTGGCTCTAATGATGTGTGAAGTGAGTGTCTAATGGTGTCTAAGTGAGTGAAGTAATGTCTGGCTCTAATGATGTGTGATGTTAGAAATGTCTGGCTCTAATGATGTGTGATGTAAGTAATGTCTGGCTCTAATGATGTGTGAAGTGAGTAATGTCTAGCTCTAATGATGTGTGAAGTGAGTAATGTCTAGCTCTAATGATGTGTGAAGTGAGTAATGTCTGGCTCTAATGATGTGTGAAGTGAGTAATGTCTAGCTCTAATGATGTGTGAAGTGAGTAATGTCTAGCTCTAAGTGAGTGAAATAATGTCTAGCTCTAATGATGTGTGAAATGAGTAATGTCTAGCTCTAATGATGTGTGAAGTGAGTAATGTCTAGCTCTAATGATGTGTTAAGTGAGTAATGTCTGGCTCTAATCATGTGTAAAGTGAGTAAAGTCTGGCTCTAATGATGTGTGAAGTGAGTAATGTCTGGCTCTAATGATGTGTGAAGTGAGTAAAGTCTGGCTCTAATGATGTGTGAAGTGAGTAAAGTCTGGCTCTAATGATGTGTGAAGTGAGTAAAGTCTGGCTCTAATGATGTGTGAAGTGAGTATTGTTTGGCTCTAATGATGTGTGAAGTGAGTAATGTCTGGCTCTAATGATGGTGTGAAGTGAGTAATGTCTGGCTCTAATGATGTGTGAAGTGAATGACCACACACAATCTCAGACCAACAAAGCCACTACAGAAACCAGCCAGTGATACTTACTTCCCTCCCATGTACAGTGTAACAAGTTGAGTGCTCCTTCAACCCTCTTCCAATGGTGAAGATGGAAAAATGAATATGCTATTGCTTCACTGTCTCCTCTTTTCAAGATATGCTCTGGTGGTAAGATAAGACTCTTCATCTCTAATAAATACTGAGAAGAAAAAAAAAAAAGAAACATGATAAATACAAGATGTGGCAAAATTATATACTCATGACATAACAACATTCATGATGTAGTAACAAGTTTAATTCTACAAGAATGAATTAGCTTAACACATGGAAACAAATGCATAGACTTACTGAAGAAGTTAAACATTGTCAAGATGTAGGTAAAAGAAAAGTGGAGGCAGAACATCCAAAGATGGATCAACAATTGTAGTTTGGAGTGTGCCACCACACTGAGTCACAGAAAGTTCTAGAGACACTTCTAGTCAACTTTAATTGAGGTGATGGCATTTGAGTGACAACATTTTAAAGTGCATAGTAGTACACAAAGGGAACAACTAACTTCTTCTTCACATTCACCAGCTGTAAACTATGGCGAAATGTTTATAGTTGTTCATCCACCTTTGGGCTGGTGTTTCTCAGAACCTGAGTTTTGTATGCACAACCACTTTTCAGACTGTGTGCACAGTGTTTGTTCCTGGTCTTTCAGGCAGATGCACACAGAGTTTGAAGGACAAGTTGAATCCTATCTACAATGTGGGACCCTGTTTCTGGGATGACCACGGAGAAGGGCTGACAGGTCTTGACAAGTATGAGCTTCTGTCATGGTGTACTGCCACATGTGTTTCAGCACTGCTGGATCCTGGACAACTTACAAAGTACACAGTGTAAAACATGTTGTAAAGAAGAGAGATGAAAAAGGCAACTCGAGATCACTGGTGGCAAAGAATACACCCTAGAGAGTGAGTGCTCGCTTCAGGGAAAGACAGAGAGAGACAAAGAGACAGACAGAGAGAGCAGGGAAGAAGAGAGAGAGACAGACAGAGGGAAGAGAGCAGGGGAGAGGAGAGACAGGCAGACAGACAAAGAGACAGCAAATCATAAACCATAACAAATTAACAAAGAGAATGTGCCAGTCATACACAAGATTACCCAAATTTCAGTCATACCTCAGTCAAACTGATAACAAGACATATATTACAAAAAATTAAACGTGTCAACAAAACAAAACCAAGAAATAATTAACCAGTTAACCTCATGGCAGTAAGAACACAAGAACTCTGAGACAAGACAATCTTCCTCAGAAAGCTCTCAGTAGCAGTCAAGCATGTATGTGGGATGTCAGGTCTGGTATACGGCGCCCAACAGTCAGCATTAACAAAGAACTCACTAACTACTGTTAGACAGTAGCTCAGTCATATGTGAAAATGATCTGACTCAGAAACACCATATATATTTACTTATTACTCAATCCGGTCCTGTCTTCACAATAAATATTGGCTGCACCCAACACATCAACATTCTCTTTTGCCCAGGATGTATTCTCTCAGACCGCTGTCTATCCATCTTTTGATGTCCTCCTATTTGTATCACTATCTGCTTGCTCACTTTCAACTGCTCAACCCAGTGTGGTTTTTATCAAATTGTAATGTCTTTTAATATGGCCACAAATATTTCACTGATCTCTTGTTTAATTTCCCACAGCCACTCTCTTTTCATTCCTAGACATCTCAGAACTTGTATCTGGTTGTTCTTGTTTCCACGAAATATGACCTATTCTTCTGTATATCTACATCTCGAGATATTCAGTATGGTTTTCTCATTGCTAGTTTCCTGTTCCATGTCGACGCCCCACACAGCAGGACCAGTACTGATACAGTGCAGCTAACAATATCCTGATGAAAAGCACTGATGTCAACACTGAAAACTGTAGAATGAATGTTGACTTAAGAATCGACATCACAGCACCCAGGACACTCCCATAAGTGCTCTGTCCCAATCTTTAGCAGCAAGCTAAGAGTTCCAATTCCGATGGCACCAGTAGTCGTCTGATTGTATATCCGTCTCCTCTTTCCCCTGAGTGTTGAGCGTCAGCCAGATCCCCTGGTAACTCCTCGCAGCGCCGATCTCCTCAGTCCATAATGATCTATCTGCACAACCGCACTGTTCACTCGTTCTTAAAGGGCCCTCACAACATCTAGCTTGTCATACATCAATTCACCGCCAAGTGGTGCAAAACCAGCCAGTCTATCTGCCTGCTTATTTCCCAACATACTGGCATGACCTGGAGAATATATCCAAAAATGGATATCCATAGGATTCTTAATAATAACTGTAAAAGGAAAACAGCCCACCTTGGGAACATGTGGATTGAACTCCACTGCTCTGTGAATAGCTTCTACTGCTGACATTTCCGCTGTACTCAGACCCCGCTTAGATGCCATATCAGGGGAAAATCTGAAAGAAATAAGGGCAATGACAAATATCTATTTCATAAGTGATGCTGCTGCTGCTGAATTTGGCAAGTTATGTCATAATATTTAGATGCCGTCTCCACAATGGAGGATGGTTGCAGTGGATATGTGGCTAGACTTAAATCACTTCTTAAGTGTGAGTCTTGTACAGCTGTCCACAAAACATGATAGTGGTCTCACCTAATAAGTCAAGTGCCATCTACACAATGAAGGTGATTGCAATATATCTCCAAAAACTCTGTATATTTAAGAAATAATCGAGTATGACAACACATATACTTTACTACTATATTTCTCACTATAATAAACAATTCTGGAAAATTCACTGCAAACGGACACACACACACACACACCCCCCCCCCCCCCACCACCATTATTGCTTTTTTTCCCACACCATAAACATGACAAGCCTTTCAGTATTCCATTTAAAAACAAGTGAACAAACAATTAGTCCTGGCAAAATGCAGACAAATGCAACTGCAGTAAATGTATAAAGCAGCCGCTGGAGATGCCAACACACCAACAATGGCCACCAAAATTATAATTTGCCTCTGATGCAAGTAGTCAGTCATGACAAGTCTACTGTTCATATACACACTATAACTGCATAAGGCACTTCATCATTCTGAACCAACAGCCAATTTCTGAAGTTAGTGACACAAATTGCTGCGGACAGTAATGAAAGCTAGTTTCGCTCATTATGTTTCTTCGTCTTCTTCTTCAGATGCCAAGTATACAGCAGACATTGGTTTTATTCAATTCTCTGTATTATCTGGTATATAAATGTATGGAATTTTCACAATATACCCAACTGGAAATAAAATTTACTTTATCACACAAGCAGTCCAGGATAAAGTCTTTTGGCTTAACCCCTGAAGTCTGCCAGTGGTCACCATGTTTATTCCTTCTCCTAACATTCAGTCAGTTTCTAATCTACTTTCTCTTATCAGTCTTTCCTCCATCTCTTGAAGGATACCTTATGTGTTTCTCTACATACAATTATGTGATATCCTTTGCATTTTTTTTCTCTGAAACCACAGTCCCACTGCTAATTTAGGCTGGGTCAACCTAGTGCCAAGGTCAATTTTAAACAGCACCTGAGCCTTCAGGCCAGCAGGCAATCATCTGGCCACTGTGCTACTACATCTCCCTGTGTAATCAGTGGCAAACACTAAACAATAACAGAAAAAACGAAAGACATGACACACAACCGGTTAACTCACTTGTCTGCCACCGCCCTGGCTTTAAGTAGTGCAGCTGTATAACATATTGTGGCTGACTTGGGTAAGCTGATATCTGCCAATGAGATCAAAGTCATTGTAGTTCTTATTGAAGTCATCTACAACATCTGGACAATATGAGTACTCATCATAAATAGAAAAGATACAGCTAATCTCAATGTAGATTTGTTGGGGGCTTTCATCATCATCCTGTGCGGTTTTAGTTTCATCATCATCATGTGCAAGCATGAACAGTCATGGTTTACAATCTCACATGATCATCAGTACTGGATGAAGACTGTGTTCCAGTACAGATTAGGCCATATTGTCTAATCATCCAGATAATTGTTCCTTTTGGCTTTCCACCCTTTCCTGCTTCAGTCTGTTGGTTGTCACCAAGTTATCCAGTTCATGTCTTGTCATTACACGTCTGGGGTATGTCTAATTCCTCTGGCAAACTTGCAGGTTTCATGTTTCTTGAAGGACTGTCCCACTGAGTTCATTCAACAACTGACATCACAGCATTCTGGACATTTACATAAGCAATTCATCCTTATCTTCTGTAACCTACAAAGAGTTCCAATACTGACACTGTCAGTGGCAGTCTGATTACATGCCAGTCTTGCCTTTGCTCTGAGTGCAGAGTGTCGACCAGATACCATAGTCATTCCATACCACAATATTTTTTTAGTTATATGTGATCAGCTAAACTATACTGTCACAGAAGAGGGTAGGAACTTGCATTGGTGAGCTGGCATATCACTGGTATATAACTGCCATCATCTACTCTATTACAACTTTTGGATGGTTTCTCCAATTCCAAAATAATAAAAAAATTTTAATGGAATTTGAGATTAGGGAACAAATAAATATAACTGACCGAGAACAGGCAAATATGATGATGGCTACACCAGTGTCATGCATCTTCCCGATTTTTTTAAGGGGTGGGGGGGGGGGGGGGGGGGCATGAATAGTCACAGAGTGGACTGAGACCAAGAACATTGTTCAGCTGCATCCAAAAGACTGTATTACTGTCTGCACATTTTGTTGCATGTCCAATTCCTTAATACAAATATTGAGAAAAAATGATAATTCAAATTCAATTCGCTAGAGATCATTCTGACTTTCATTGCCCAGAACCTCACAAGATCCTTCACTCTGGCCATATTTTCATTAATCTGTTAATATAAAAGGTCTTCCAAATTCTCACAGCCATAAACAAATGTTTCCTTCCTTTTACAACCTATGTCAGGTGGCAGCCATGATGTCCCCTTTCACTGTCATTGCACAAATTAGGTTTCTACTTTGAAACCATCTGGGATTGAAAGAATTCAACACTGACTGCAAACGTTAGTTGAGCTTGAATAAAATAACATATTTATGATTGAAGGCCCTCAACAACAGACACTATCAGGCAGAATTAGTTAACCTAACAATTCATATATTCAGGTCAAAATAACTTCAGTCTGCGCTAAATGACAGCATGAACATCACATCCGTCTTTGGGATTATCATGAAACGTACAGGGAATGATTTGGTACCGAAAGAGTTAAGTCTGCCCACAAGCTTCTGTTTCATGCACTGTCAATAATTTCTGAAAACAGACGTTGTTCCGTGATATGATGTCAAATTGTCCAACATCCTCACTTCGGGTCTCTTCCTGCTTCTCTTGCCCTCCAACTTTCCCGTTGTCATAACATTCATCTGTTGTTCTTTTCTTACAAGATGCTCAAAGAAGGTGGACTGTCTACTGCTGGGGCAGGTAATCAATGGGTTTTGTGAAGTAATTTTTTTCAAGATATCTCCATTGCGTATTATTTTAGGAATTAGGTGTGGACCAGGCAAGGACTTACGAGAGGAAGAGAAGGAAGAGTTTAAAATTAGTGTGCTACAGGAACAGTTAGTATCTACACCCTAAGATATTTGTTGCAGAAGACAGAGCACCTATGGGTAAGCCCGGTGTGCTCTGATGTCGATTCTTAATTAAGTAAATCAGTATTCATTATCATTTTTATCTGTCCTTGGTGTTCTAGTTCTAATCATTCTCACATAAATCACATCCAGGAGCTATGCTAGCACAACAGTCAGTTTGTTCATATAACAATTCAGTGATCCCGAGTTCAATCCTAAATAACAACAGTATCAACGTTTTTATAACCGGTATGGCTTCTATAATGACTGACAGACAATATTCTAGGAAAAAGAAAGCAAGCAAAGGAACTTTATCTTTGCTACTTACCATCAAATCTGGCTAAAACAGCTTGGACATCAGCATATGCTTGAAGTTCTAGCAAAGCTTCTATTAAATTTTCATGAATGTTGAAGTTCATTATGGGAGATTCTTTCAGCAACTAACAAATGAAACATAAACAATGAACATTATTAGCCATATTGTTATTTAAAATTAAGGAAACATGAAACAGACTAATACAAAAAACAAAAATACAATTAAAGAGTCAATAAGCCACACATACAGTTCTGTGCATATAAAATATTGAGCAATTGTTTCAAAATAATTTTACACATCAAAAGTGATAACTAAACAAATGAATGCAAAATTTTCAATTAAAAATTAAAAACAGTAAAACTGTTTTCCTTTGTGACTGCATGTCAGTCCTCCATGAGGCTCAGAGGGATCCACGAGACAACACGGAGAGAGAGCTGAAGGGCCAGCTAAACAGACTGGCAAAAAACAATCAGATCATTCTCCAGTGGATCCCAGCCCACTGCGGCATATCAGGAAATGAGTTAGCAGACAGACTTGCTAAAACTGGAACAAAGGAGAAACAACACACCCAACCATTGTCATTACCAGAAATCAGAACACTTATCAAGGGAAAATACAAGGAATTGTGGACAGAACAAACTAACAGTAAACATCCACAAGACCCCATCAGCAGACTCAACAGAAAGCAACATACAACAATTTTAAACAGGACACTGCAGGCTCAAATACCACATGCATAAAATAAAGATTGTTCAGTCCCCACAGTGTGCCTGTCAAACAGGACCACAAACACCTGAGCACATTCTGCAGACCTGACTACTCTATAAACAACTTTGAAAAGACACCTGGCCTCAAGAGCAAGTTGTGGAGAATCATGAAGGACATGCTACTGGCATTCGAGTTCATAGAGGCAACCCACCTGATGGTCTGATATGAGGATGGTCTGAAATGAGCATACCAAACCGAACGCGAAGAAGAAGAAGAAGAAAAAGAAGAAGAAGAAGAGGGAGAAGAAGAAGAAGAAGAAGAAGAAGATGAAGAAGAATTTTCACAGCACTCAGGACACTCCCAAAAGCCCTCTATCCCCATCTTCAGCAGCAAGCGAAGAGTTCCAATTCTGATGGCACCAATAACTGTCTAATTGTATATCCGTTTCACCTTTCCCTTGAGTGTCAAGCATCTGCCAGACCCCCTGGTAACTCCCTGCAGCGCCATTCTCCTCAGACCGTAATAATCTATTTGTGCCTCTGTACCGTTCATTCGCTCCTAAAGGGTCCTTACAACATCTATCTTGTCATACTCAATTCACCACCAACTGGTGCATAACCGGCCAGTCTATCTGCTTGCTCATTTCCCAACACATTGACATGACCTGTCAAAGGATGCTAACTACCCGGGAACTCTTAAGTGATACTTGCCACTCTACACAGAGCAAGTCTACGACAGTAGATCTATTCTTTCTAACACCACTCCTCCCCCTCCCCTTTTCAACTCACATGGGGACAGAAGTGACAGTATATAATAAAGAGTAGGAGTTGTACTGTGTACACAATAACAGGTAACAAAAGTATTCTGCATGTATAAGAAATAACAAATTTACTGTGCATGTAATAAAGAGTAAGAAGTAAAGAGTAAGATAACACTTATGCAGTAGAAACTCACAACAAACTCAGGTCGAGCCATTCGTAGACTAGTTCAGGATTGGTTTAATTTTGCTTGTCTATAACTTCATGTTGTGATATCTCAATTGAAGGAAAAGACTTAACCAAGTCAATAAATTCAAATATCTGGGAACAATCATACCATCACACAGAAAATGTGTGACAGAGATTAAAAGCAAAATAGGTCAAGCGAAAGCTGCATTTCAGAAAATGAAAATTATCTTATGCAATAAATTGCTCTTATTTAATGTCAGAAAGAGGGTGCTAAAATGGTACACAGAACCTGTATGGTAGTGAATCTTGGAATGTCGGTGAACAAATTAAGAGGAATTTGGAAGCAACAGAGATGTGATTTCTGAGATGAATTTTATGAATACATTGGACGGCCAGAGTAATTAAGAACAATTATTTGAAAGAAACTAATGAAAGTAGATCTCTATATACAACAATAAGAAAGAGACAAACACTGTTCTTTGGCCACATAATGAGAAGAGAGATACTGGAAAACATTGTGACAACTGGAAAGATCAGTAGAAAAAGGGATAGAGGCAGACCAAGAGAGATGATGCTGGATGGGCTGAACGATGGCATGGAGGGATATCATCAAGAGAGCTGTTCCATTTAACCATGGATCGTGATCTGTGGAGATGCATGAGCGCCTACGCCAGTTGGCAGGGCACACGATGATGATGCATGTAAACCACCTCATATAAACCATTCTTAATTTACTCTTAGGACATATATGGTGTGGTTACAATAGATCTGTTTGCTTTTTTTTTGGTTCTCCTTGGGGGTTGCCCTGTCTCTCACTCACACTCATTGACTCACTCACTCATGCAAACATGCACCCCTGCCCGTTATTTCTCACACGTGTCCTTTTCATATCTCAGTTTCTGTTATCCTGTCTTGCTATCTACTGCTCTATGTGCGTGTGCACACATGTGCATGTATGGGTGTGTGTGTGTGTGTGCAAGCACGCGCAAGTTTAGACAGGCAAGCCAACACATAAATGTCAGAACATAAGGTGGGGATCTGGAAGATACTATAACAAATGTATATGCAAAATGTGCCCTTACATATCATGCTTGTAACACACTTACATCTCTCATCATCTTGACTGCTTCTCGCGTTCTACCCAGCTTTCTGGCACACATGGCAAGCCTTCGTTTTATATACACCAACACATTTGTGTCTCGACCTGCAAGCACATTTAATCAGACATTTCAGTTATAGCCACACAAAAAAGTATGGTTTTGTCAGGATATCTGATGGTTATAAGAGTGACGCAATACCTATTGCACTACCACCCTGAAGGTTATGGATTCGCTTCAGGGAATGTGTCATTTGGTTCACAAGTGCAGTTTTCAAGGAGTTCCTTGGGCAGAGGTGTTAGAGCCAAAGAGTTCTTGCTCTACACCAGTGAGATTTCGTAAAATGATTAAAGTACTTATTTGTGCTGGCTTCTTTTCCAGGATTGATTATATATATATCAAAAGGAAATGCCAGAAAAATTGCACATAAATTTAGCAGTGCATATATAGGAAAAAAGATATGGGAAAATGAGTTTACAATGTAATGAATGTATTTTCAGACTTATGAAGAGGCCTACATTTATAAAACAACATGGGTAATTACTGAATAAAGCAAAAATTTCATTGATAAAATTGTAACCGATGTCTGTAGCTACAGTGTTATCCCACAAATTTGTTACACTGTGGAGAACAAACAAGGAACCCTGCAGGTCAACACAGTGAAGTGTTTTCTCTGACAGGAAAGATCTTGGTTTCAGTAAGATGTGAGGTGACTATAAAATGAATCCAAAACAAAAAGGTATGTTAAGATCATGAGGATAAACAACAAGCACAAACACTAGTGTATTTTTGACAAGAATCTCAGGTCCAATAAACAGATGCTAAAGATCATATAAATTATATACTCAATTAAGACTGAATTTTTAAAACAAAGAAATTTATTAAAGTCGAAGGACTAAATTTTTGCACCAGGTTATCCCATCTCAGCAAAATGGCTAGCCACATGCCCACAACAGCATACAGAGCACAAACTCCACAGCTCCAGCAAAAATCCCCCAATGATCTCCATAAGAACTGCTCTCGTGCTGAATGACACATCCGTGAAATGAACCCATGACCTTTAGAACAGAGATTTCCCAAACCTCCTTATCCCTAAAGAGGTTATTAGCAGGTGTATGACTAGAAAAGTCAAAAGTAGAGTCAGTAATGGAATCATCATCACCACCTATAGCATGAAAAATAAGACAACAATAGGGCACTATCATTCTTCTGTTCTTTTTTCCCTAATGCAGTTATTCTCAACCTGTGGGTTGTGACCCCTTTGGAGGTCGAGCGACCCTTTCAAAGAGGTCACCCAAGACCATCAGAAAGCACATATTCACTAAAGTTAGGAAGAAGCAACAAAAATAATTGTATGGTTGGGGTCAGCACAACATGAGGAACTGAATGAAATGGTTGCCGCATTAGGAAGGTTGAGAACCACTGTCCTAATGACACATAGAACCTCAACCAACTCATCAAGCCCAGTTGGCCTATCCAGTGTATTTAGCTAACCGCACGTCCTCCTCAGCTTTGTAACTTGACTCTCTAGCTTCCTTCCCTATTTGTCTTTTGGTCTGCCTTTATTCCTTTGACCATGTAGATGCCAGTGCAAATACATTATAGCTATACTGCTATCAGTTTTTCTCAGCGATGGTCCTATCCAACACCAGTTTTTTGCTCACTTCTTGATTCAGCTGAATTTTTTTAGTTCTCTCACAAAGCTCTGTAATGGTGATTCTATCAAACCAAACTAATCCCCTCTATTCTGCAAAAGCACAAATTATTGAATGTTTTTAGTTTATTGGCAACTGTTTTAGTTGCCATGACGTTATCACTGACAAGGTATAAAAATCAACCATTAACTTACGATGCAGTGCCTCTTGTATGGAATTTTGGTGCTGTGTGGCTTGGGATTTTCTGTAGGTGTTTTCTGCTGCTTTATACGCCTGCTTGAACATTTTCTCACACTAAATCGTAGAAGAGACAAAGAATGCTTTTCACACATTTGTTCAAAGAAGAACCTCAAAGATGTAAACATCAATCAAATGCAATTTTCTGTCTTTTTCTGATACTAAATAAATACAATCTTTTTCTCACAGTCTATTCCATTTGGTGTTGGTAATCATGACTGCAGTTTTTCTGTCTTGAGAACTGTCAATCTGTTCTGAAATAGATATTCGTCCATGCCATGTCAAAGTGTTACACATACTCTCTCCCTCTCTTTATCTCCCTTTGTGCCCGGCCCGCTAGCATAGTTGGCCGAATCTGACTTTGCGGCGACCGGGTGACAAACTCCTTATGGTCCTGGTTTACGCCCGGGGGTTGGCAGAAAATCAAGATTTTCCCCAGATTTACATAATCTATCACGGAATCAAGGCCGAAGGGTTGCAATATCCATAGTACCAAGCCAAAGGGTTAACAACTCATGGCTTCTGGATACTTAAAAAAATATTTAAAAAAAACTCCCTCCGCATATTTATCAAGAGTCTATTTGAAATTGTAATGATCTATATTTATAAAGTAAGGGATCCCTTCTGAGCTCTTTGCTGCATGTTGCGTATAAGGGGTGAGTTGAATTTTTTTTTTTTAAGGCCAGTCAAAACTCAATGGATAACGTGTATAACAGTCTTTCTGTTCATATCATGGAAAAATTACTGTGTCTATTTTAGGTCAGGGGGATGGAATGGATTCCATATATGATACTGAAAAGATTCAACAGGGCAGAACTGCATGGAGGGATCAACTGCAGGTCCCTGTATGATGGCACAAGAGGGATGATAATTTCAAGTGGGACTGACCTGAAAGCTCATGCAGATATAACATTTAAAAATCCCCACTGTTTGCTATCAGAATTCCAACATGTGACCACAAGGCTCGCAGGCAATTATGATGGTCAGTGTCCTACTGAAACTCTTCTAAGACAGATGTACTAACAACACAACAGTTACTGATGACCAAACCTACATTCTTACCTCTAAAATTGTTGTTGTTTCTTCTTCTGCTAGTAATACCATTGCTGTGGCACACCTGAAAACAATGTTTACAACAAATATTGAATACATATCACAAATGTGAAGGCATCCAGAATCACAAAGACTGCTTCCAACAGACACATTAAATAGGTTTAAAAACAAATACTTCTTCAGCATATATAGTGGGCACGAATGAACTGACAGCAGCAACAACTGCTTCAATCATACTTCTTTTGACCTTTTTGGAGCAGAAATTGTAAATGGGTGCCTTTGTTATAATTTAAAGAGACAAACAGACCTGAAAATGTCAAAATCGCACTAAACTGACTTTGGCATAGCCGCCATGACATGGCTTTGTCTATCTCCACAAAGCGGCTATGTGCCTGGCAAGAGTATCGTCAAAGCATGACAATTTGTAACACCAGCGACAACCCTCTGTAAAACACCTGCAATGGGATGCAATGCTGAATGCCCCAAACTTTGATGACTTCAAGTGCAAACTCAGTTCCTAACAGTGGCTTTGTTTAATTCTGCCACACAGCTTAAATACATTTGCAATAAAACCCATGGGACAGGTTTCATTTCATCAGCCCTCATATCTCAACAGGACTATAAACAGTAAAATGTACAAGAGAAACCCCATATATAATGCTAATGAATGAGAGTTTCCAGAGGTGCTACCCAATTCCATACCGGATATGGACAAGATTGCAAAGGACAGCACAGAACGTAAGAATCAGCTGCAAGCCCTGTAGGACATATAAATGGGATAGCAGAAGGATGATGATGATGACAAAAAGAAAAAAACCATGTAAGTAAATTAACTTTCGCACATGACGGAACACAGAAGACACCAACAGTAAAAGTAAGGAGACATAAATATCTTACTCTGTATTTTTCTCCAGTGCACTGTGAGCTGCTTTTATCCTAGACTGTGGGTTCCTTTCTCGCCAGGCCATTTGCATGACTATAAAAGATAACAGAAAATATTACAATTTTAGATTCAACAATCAGGCCTATCACATTGAGACAACACGTACACAAATTCTGTGCCATCTCCACAATGAAGGTTGGCTACAGTGCACCGCTGTCATGTTTGGAAACATTTCGTGATGGGGACCCAATCCCCTTCACGATGAAACTCTGACACTGTCTTCCAGAAACCATAAGACATTAAAAAAAAAAAAAAGAATTGAATCATCTGCTGTGAAAATTGATACAGAGGATAATGTTGTTTGTTTTAGTATCCAGAAGCCATGAAATGTTAACCCTTAGGCTCAGTATTATGGATATCGCAACCTTTCGGCCTTGATTCCATGATAAATACCGTAAATTTGGGAGAAATGTGGCTTTTCTGCCTACCCGCGGGAGTGAACCCGGACCACAAGGAGCTCGTCACCCGGTCACCGCGCAATCTGGTTTAGCCAACTACGCTAGAGAGCCGGCACCGAGGATAATGAAATTGTTAAAATGTGAACGTTCTGGTTGTTCATCCACTTCTGGACTATGGTTCAGTTCCAGTACTTTAGTTTTCCAGACACATCCATTTTGCAGATCTGGCTCATTTATATGCAGACTGTTTCCTCACCTCTCATTCAGATGAAGTCTGAGACATGCACATGTGCCTGCCATGACTGTTGTCCAGGTTCAACCCCCAGAACTGGCAGGATTTTCCCAAACCCGGGTCTAGGGTCAGCAATCTTTCAAATGAGTACCAGATAATTTCCAGAATTTTCTGGGAAGCAAGTGAGAAGGAAGGGAGATCAACACCCCACTTGCTATGTCAGAGCATACAATCTGTGAATGTCTACATAGCGGCGGCCAACACAGCAATCAGCAAGCCAAGGGAGGTAGCCCCCATTACCCTAGGGTTTAAATGTTTCCAGTTTTTAGGCCAACTTTAATAGCCTATATCTAGTGTCTGTAGCAGACTGCTGGTGATTTTTAAAATGATAATTTGCCCTCAAAGCATACATGATTGGCCAACACTGGTCTAACACTTCACATCCCAACAACAGTATTCGTCATGGTACTACCTTTTCAGTACATGTATGGGCATGAATACACATGCACTGCCATTAGCTGAAACTTCTTCTAGATTCACCCTCTGAAGAACAGTTGGCATGCTGTAATGTAGTTCTTCTTCTTCTTCTTCTTTTGGGTTCATTCAAAGATGTTATTGCATTGTGCCTGTTAACAGCATGGCTGCAATCTCTGCACCTTTAGGCTGACACATCAAACTTCTGCAGGCATTTGTTGGCCGGGTTAGCCTTCCCAGGAATGTAGTTTACAACTAGGCTGTGATATTTGTACTTTTTCGCTCAACACAACACATTTCAGCAAACTCCTAATTAGTCCCTCTTGTGACATGTTAGGGGACAGTGTGTCGATTCATCTTCCCCCCAATGAGGGGCCCTGGAACTCACACAGCGAATCAGCTAAAACAATAACTACATTGTGAATAAAGCATGTTTTAACACATGAAACAAACTCAAAAACACACGTCTGGGGGAGAGGAGGGGGTCAGTACAGTGGCTGACATGGCTGCCTGCTAACCTTATGCTCACAGATTCAAACTCTCACAGAGGCATTTAATGTTTTTAATGACCATTCCTCCCAGGTAGGCCCAGCTTTATATGGGTACCAGAACATGTCCTAAAGAAGTCAAGGCGGCTGGCATGATACTGATGATATCAGTCACTAAGTGCAAACTGTTATAACAGCAGGTTAGCAACACATACTCAATACACCTGACAGCATGGAAACAGAAACTTATCTTTTACTTTACCTTTATGGACAACAGTGGCTGTCATTGGAAATCAGGAGGAATTAGACATGCCTCATGTACCCATGCCTCATATAATCAGTAATTTTAAAGGTTGATTTAAACACACCTTATCTAATCAGTATGTTTAAGGGTCGATATCCAATCAGCTTTCATTTTAATTGCTGATATATTTACGCCTCATCCAATCAGCACTTGTTAATTTTTAATGGTTGATTTTTGTAAAATAGTCATCATAACCATTTTTTTAGAGAAAATTTTCTGGTTTTAAATATATTTGTAGCATTTAATACAGCAGTTGCTATTTTTTTTCTCAAGAAGTGTTACGTTTTTGATACATTAATTATGTGTCTTGTTTTTTAAAGTGATCACTACAACATTTTCAATACAGTAATTTTTTTAAAGTGACATTTTATCAAGTAATTTACACACAAAAAATTGTATGCAGTAAATTTGTATTACAGTAATTCTTGTCTTTTCAGTGTGAGCCTTGTAACATTTTAATGTGGTAGTTTGTCTCTTTTTTAAGGGGTGGATATAATGATGAAACCATTAGCAGAAATGCGAATCAATACCTCTTAACCGTAAAACTACACAAGCACTCAAACAATCCAGGCCAACCAATAAACGATAGTTTACAACAACTCCACTTGTTTTATCTTCTCTCCAGCTGAAGCCAGAGAGTGTATACGAGGACAACACACTGACATGCCACTGAATTAGTTCAGTGAGAATTAGCAGCATGGTGTCGGGTAAAGCTAGGTGAGATAATGGATGCTGATGAGAGTCCTGCAAACAAAGTCATCAGTGACTAAGCAATTGTCATGTGTATTCTGTGACAAGCACAAAACACTGACTAGACATAGATTAATACAATCTTTGCTTCATCGACTGATTCCTTTTTATGATATTGTCTAATTAACTTTGATTTAGTTCCGATACAGAGTTACTGTAGAAAAAGAAAGCTATTGAGCTGAAATGCTATATTCTCAGAATATCTTGGATGAAAAAGAAGAAAACTACTGACATCTTGAAAGATCTGAACATCAAGGAAGACTGGCTAATAAACAGCAGCCTGTTACAGAAGTTAAAATATTTTGGTCATATTAAGCGCCACGAGGGATTGGAAAAAATTATAGCAGAGGGCAAGGTACCAGAAATGAGGGGCAGGGGCCGACCAACACGAAGATTGGCACAGGATATAAGTGACTCCATGAGTGTGAAGTACATGAGGTGGGAGAGCTGGCGAGATACCGCGTTTCTTTCAGGCAGACCGCAATGAGTGCAAAGGACCTGCCACATGATGATGATAGAAACATGATAACAGACAACAATGGTAGAAACATGATGAAAGATAACAATGGTAGAAACTTGATAACCATCAACTAGAATAGAAACTTGATAACTAACAATGAGAGCAGAAACCTGAGAGCTAACGATGAGTAGCGAGGAAATCTGATGGCTAACAAGAAGGACAAATAAATGATAAACAGCACTAGAGTGAAAACCATAAAACTAACATCAAGGACAGAAATAATGGGATAAAGTTCAGAACGAGAAGGCAGGCAGGTAGTTAGCTAGTAAAGCACACTAGATATCAATAAAAGTTATTCTTGCATTTCTTCAGTCCTTTAAACAACTGCATTTTATAAACTAACAAACTAAAGTTGATCAGTCACACAACATATCACTGCTAGTTGTGAACTTCACAAATGGCACTTTGCCTATGTGAATCATGACAGTCACAGAACTACTTTCATACTCAGGTTTTTCTGTGTCAGCCTCACAAATGACACCTTACATTCACGATACCTCATACTTCAGATTATTTAGTAAAAGTCTGGGAGACCAAAGAATTAACAGCAAACAAGAGAGAGAAGGATATCTTGTGAAACTGCCCAAAAAGGGTGATCTACAGGAGTGTGAAAACTATAGAGGAATTGTGTTGCTGTCAGTTCCGGAAAAATATTAGGTATGACTATTTTGGAAAGACTAAAAGATGCTAATGATAAAAAGCTAAGAGATAAACAGGCAGATTTTCGGTCAAACAGATTTTGTACTGACCAGACAGCCACATTAAGTATATTGTCACAGAACTTATTTTTATGCTCAATATTTTCTATGTCAGCCACACAAACAATGCCCTACATCTGTGATACAGCATATAGTCAATAAACTTACTCTCACACTCAGGTTTACCTGTTGGCCTCACAACACATCACACAATCACTGAACATACTTTCATACTCAGATTTCCCCGCGTCAGTCTCACAATACATCACACAATCACTGAACTTACTTTCAAACTCAGATTTCCCCGCGTCAGTCTCACAATACATCACACAATCACTGATCTTACTTTCATGTTCAGGTTTCCCTGTGTCAGCCTCACAATACATCACACAATCACTGAACTTACTTTCATATTCAGATTTCCCCGCGTCAGTCTCACAATACATCACACAATCACTGAACTTACTTTCATATTCAGATTTCCCCGCGTCAGTCTCACAATACATCACACAATCACTGAACTTACTTTCATATTCAGGTTTCCCTGTGTCAGCCACACAATACATCACACAATCACTGAACTTACTTTCATATTCAGGTTTCCCTGTGCCAGCCCCACAATACATCACACAATCCCTGAACTTACTTTCATACTCAGATTTCCCCCCGTCAGTCTCACAATACATCACACAATCACTGAACTTACTTTCATATTCAGGTTTCACTGTGTCAGCCACACAATACATCACACAATTACTGAACTTACTTTCATATTCAGGTTTCCCTGTGCCAGCCCCACAAAACATCACACAATCACTGAACTTACTTTCATATTCAGGTTTCCCTGTGTCAGCCACACAATACATCACACAATCACTGAACTTACTTTCATTTTCAGGTTTCCCTGTGTCAGCCACACAATACATCACACAATCACTGAACTTGCTTTCATACTCAGGTTTCCCTGCATCAGTCTCACATTACACAATTACTGAACTTACTTTCATACTAAGGTTTTCCCGCAACAGCCTCACAATACATCACACAATCACTGAACTTACTTTCATATTCAGGTTTCCCTGTGTCAGCCTCACAATACATCACACAATCACTGAACTTACTTTCATATTCAGGTTTCCCTGTGTCAGCCTCACAGGTAAAATAAGTCTGATGATCTTGTGCCGACAGATTCATGTCATAGTAGGTCAACGGTTCCTTGCCGGTTGCCCAGTTAAACCTCTGGTATTCTGATCCTCTGAACAAGTTTAAAGGGTTTCGCCAAACTTTGCATTCTAAGGAAACAAAACAAAAAATGTTAGCATATTTTAGTTATCTGTTACAGGCGGTGTGGTGGTACAGATGGCTGTTAGTACACCATCCAGACAAGAAGGGGATCTGGATCTAGTCCCCAAAGTGACAGGCATTTTTCTACCAGTCTGACCCTGGGTCAAACTTGTCTCAAGAAAACGTGTACCAGACAATGTATAGGATTTTCTGTAAAGGAAATGTTGCGAAGAAGGGAACTGGTCACCCCAGCTAACTGCCATGATCTAGAATATTAAGCTTAACATTTTACACCCCAACAGATAGATCTGTGAAGCGTGTATCAAGGTCAGCATGGACATGCACAGTGCAAAGAATGGGGAAAACAATACAAGAGAACAGCGGTGCTTACCAGGCAACCATGTCAAGCATGACCATGGAGATAGCCGCTGCTTCTAGAGCACTAGCATGGGCATCCAAGCAAACAGCTTCAGAAGATATCAACAGGTGGTATGCGCTCTGAATGGGTAGAAAGCAATTGAAAATTGCACTTAACCTCCCTCACCTGGATCTACACACCTGATCATGCAGGCGTAAAGGGTAATGAACAAGCGGACCAACCGGCAAGCAGTGCACCAACGCATGACATGGGAGTAAAGCATGGTGAAGCACATCTATGCCACCTTTGAGACCGAGACAGGAGACATTATAACCAACTTCCTTCTCACGGGAACAATTAGCAGAAGTACCTTAGAGTGGCTGCTGCATTGGAAGACAGAGCTCACACTGGAATGCCCAATGTGCAGTCACGTTGATTGTGATAACATAACATAACAACATGGAATTATTGTTATTTTCCTGGCCCAATTTTGAATAGTCTGTCACAGCAGTTATGCAACTATGAAACTTCCTACTCTACTCATACACAGGCTGGACTGATAAGCATCAATAAAATAGATTTTCACTTGCTGATGAATTTCCTCTCGTTTCATCCCTACAATGACTCACGTTAAAAAAAAGACCAGTAACAAAACACAGCTTCTCTTTGGAGCATGTCAAAAGTGGGGAAGCCATCTTTTAACTGTGTTATGATGTAATCGTGTTCATCTGCACTGTCATATCACATGCTTAACACTCCTGACATCCTTTACAACAATATCGACAGGCTAGAAGACAATGCCATTGTAATTTCTACCACACTTTCAAGGTATTGATCTGAAGCCTCCTTACCTGTTAATAATTATTAAAATCACAGTTTGTCCATGTCTCTCTTTCTTCTTCTTCTTCTTGAAATCACTTCTCTGACAATTACAGATTGTGTATTCTCACAATGAACTTGACCATGCTTTGGAGTTCCTATTTGGTTCCACCTGTATGTGGTTTAACTTGTTTATGCAATTTTTTTTTTTAATGCAGTGTTATCACTTGTCTGTTTATTGTTGAATCCTGATGAATGCATGCTGGCTTAATGTTCATTTTATCACTCAATTCTGGTCTTGGAAAGATGCGAAGTTTTAATTTCCAATGTGATTGACTTATTCACTGACACCTTATTTCCACACGCCTTTATGTTTAGTGTATTCAGTAGGCCGGGATAGCTTTCTTAACAATTCTGAATACAAAGAATAATCATACCGAACATGTTCAGCAGTCTGGCTGCTTAGTCCATTCATACATGCAGTTTCAGAACATTGCTACAGGCAGTCTATGCTCTGAATGACTAGAAAGCTTTTGGAAGCTGCACTTAGCCTCCATCACCTGGATCTACACACCTAGGCATGCCGATGTAAAAGGTACTGAGTGAGCCTACCGACTGGCAAGTAATGCACTAATGCCTACAGGAAGAAGCATGGACAGAGATGAGAACATCAATGATGTATGGACTAGACTGGTGAATCTTTGATGCCAACATGGCCTTGACCTGGAAGTGAAGCGCTGAGGTCAAGATAGAATACATTAATACCAGCTTCTCATGGAAACAATCAGTAGAACTACCTCTGACTTGCTGCTGCCTCAAAGGACTGAGCATGCATGGAATGCTTAATGTGCAGTGACATCAACTATGATAACAGAACAGTGGTGAAGCAGATATATAAAGCTTATGATTATGTTTTTCTGCCTGTTGAGTCCTGTCTTGAGGTAAACACTGACAACCTGCCTATGGTGGTACAGCATGTGAGTTGTGTTTTTTTTTTAAAAATAGCCTGGATAACTATCTTTTTCTCATAGAATTTATCTGCTTTAACACCTGCAAGTACATCAAAACAGGATGGTACAGACTGTTAACTCACTTTTGATTTGTGGAAGATAATCAGTTTTATGTTTGTAGTATTAATTTTGTAAATGTAAAAACTTCCATATGGCAGTCACAGTCTGTGTAAACATACCCCATAAACACACATAAAAGCAATAGATTACACAATTCTCTGCCTGTGTCTGTGGTTATAGTCCAACCAAATGGATCCATTTGTTCATATATAAGCTGAGTTCTATAGAATGCTCCAGGTAAAATACAACAACATAATACACCAGACAATAAAGTATGCAACCGATTCCTGCTTTCTTTGTTCATGAACACGTTCAAGTGAATAGCCACACAAGTAATGCACAACAGAACAAATGGAAGCGAAATTGTTACAGGTAAACTGAACACTGTGTGACAATGGAGCTGGTATTAAGATTGAATTAGCTTCTGACTTGGCCACTATAGATTATTATAAAAGCTGCGATGAAAAAAAACGACCATATGCTGAAACCAGGACAGCTCCATTCAGTAAAATGGTAATGATGATGCTGTGGAAAATGTTTAGATGAAAGATAAGAACATCACTGACAGATTCAAATCTAACAAAGATGTGTTCATAGAAAATTAACTTATGCAAAGAAATTATTACCTGCACTGAAAAATGACAATCTACATTCTTTGGTCATGTCGTAAGAAGGGGGGGGGGGGGGGGGGGGGGGGGGGGGGGGGGGGGGGGGATTGTAGTACACTGTGATAACAGTGAAGCTGGAGGGAAAGATGGGAGGAACAAGAAACAGAAAAATAAACCAAAAGAAAAATGTGGGACAGTTTAGCATCACGGCATGGAAGAATATATGTATCAGAAATGACTGAAGAAAACATAACAGAAAAGATGTGGACATAATTAGAAAATGTCACACGATATGGGTCATAAGAAAAATCTATCCCTATCTTCATTTCCTAAGAAGGTGCAACCAAAACATGAAGACCTACCAGGTAAAGATAACTGCTGACTCGTCGTCCGGTTCCCATTTTCCACACTACCATTGGATATGCTACTACCATTACTGGTACTGGTCGCAGAAGTGCTGGTGATGGTTCCATTCTCAATCGAGGTGTCTCCACCCCCAAGTAACGGAGAAATGTGGTTTAAGGAGACCTGTTCAATGAAAGATGTCCCATATTTCTTGAAGTACCACCACTCAAAGATCTGTGAAATTCAATTAGAAAAACATGTTACAATATGCTTAAATACTCCATACTTGCTCAAAGAGGAATACTGTAAGGGTTTTGTTTACCATTTAATAAGCATGACATTTAGCTGGCATGACTGCATAATATGACCTAGCATATGCGAGATTCTAACAGAACTGGTGAGTTAAGTCAGAACATGCTGAAAGGTATTGGGACAAGAGGATCCAAGCACTTAAGACTGAATTTTGTTATGTGCAGGGATAAAGATGTGTTTAAAAACAGTGACATTTCCATAGTTGTCAATGTTGGCATTGTTTTAAACAAACCGTTATGATAAAGATGAAGTCTATTTGTGTTTTTACCTTTCAATGTAAGTGACTGAGATGTTACATTAATGCACTCAATAAGTCTGATACAGCAAGCCTGCTGAGGAACTAAGAGGCAGATCACTATATGGTTAACAAAATGTATTTACACAGACAGCATCTATACAAACAACAGGGACTGGAATAAGATGGCATTAGATCAAGCTGCATGAAGAGCAAGTTAAACACAACACCAACAAATATGGTGAAATATGTGACAGATGACTGAAGACACAAAAAGTATGGTGAAATATGTGACAGATGACTAAAGACACCAAAAATATGGTGAAATATGTGACAGATGACTGAAGACACAACGAATATAGTGAAATATTGATAGATGACTGAAGACGCAACAAATATGGTGAAATATGTGATAGATTACTGAAGGCACAACAAATATGGTGAAAAATGTGATAGATGACTAAAGACAACAAATATGGTGAAATATGGATAGATGACTGAAGACACAACAAATATGATGAAATATGGATAAATGACTGAACAAATAAAAAATGTGTTAACTTATAATATTGGTGGATGACTGAAAACACAACAAATATGGTGAAATATGGAAAGATGACTGAACACACAACAAATATGGTGAAATATGACTTCTGGTTCCGACACTGATAGGGGAGGGATGACAGTTGAGAACATGGCTTATGTTGACCGTTCTCGTCGCCGTTTCTCCTCCAGTTACGATGCTGCAAGATTGTGGAAGTCCGGTTTGCAGCTGGAGCTACTGAGTTTAGTGCTCCTGGTGGCACTATGAGCTGTGATTATTGGTTATTGACTAAGTTCCAGATTCGTACATAATGGCAATGATGGTTGGACAAGGCATGTGCTATAGCTGCTATTTATTTGCCGGCCATGGCTGCAACTTGTCCCAGGACATGTGGAGAATGGTCAGGAATAGTTTTAATCTACTCATCGCCCAGCTATTCGTCGAATGAAGTTGATTTTCAGCGATGACGCCTGGTCTCGCACTATGTTTAAGAAGGCATGCACCTTATGGTTTGCCAGATCAAATTGTGTTTGTTTTGCTGACTGAGGACACTTTGTATGGCTCCAGGCTTCACTTTAAGTATCTAGCCTATCTGAATCTGTGAATGGAATCAGTGGCATAGGTGGTTGAGCAAATATGGGCCAAGCTCGTCTGCTGTGATGCCGGAACCGTAATGACTAACTAACTAACTAACTATGGCGAAATATGGATAGATGACTGAAAACAACTATGACATATTCGCTGAGGGGTGAACACAACAAAAGTGGTGAAAGATGGGTAGATGACTGAAAACATGACAAATATGGTGATAAATGAGCTTGTAGTTACCAATATGAGCCCAGAAATGAGAGAGGAGGTTCCAGTTAAGGCCACATAGAACTTGGGGGTTAATGTGTTCAAAAACATGGTCGCTGAAAAGAAAGAAGATAACTGGTCAAACAAATACTTTCAAAAAATTGTCCAATGTAACTGAATGCTGTCTGTCTGTCTGTCTGTCGGTGTGTCTATTTGTTCTATCTGAATGTTTTTACAACTGTGTGGGAAGGCAGCACAAATCTAAATACAGGGGTTTTGAAGACTGAAAAGAAGTTGAAAGAAACAAAGAGGGAAAATTTAAAGGGAAAAGGTAGGCATTAATACCGGGGTGAGGGGGGGGGGGGGGGGGGAGTTAACATCAAACGACATACTTTTGAGAGGTATTAGTCTGATGATCCAATGCAGCATCCGTCACAACAGAGACGGTGTCTGTCTGTCTGTCTGTCTGTAAATGTGTTTCTAACAATGTTTTTTCCTGAATGTATTTACAATTTATATGTAGTCACTATAGAAATGATTAATGATGATAAAACAGAAAATAACATAAACTTTGAATTTCCAGGTTCCAAAATTTAACAGCAATGAAGAATGTTCAATAAAAGTCGAAACGAGGATGGCCACAGCAATGCAAAAATTAAACAGCATTAAAAGTTTATGGTTACGCACCAGCAAGGAAATCAAACAATTTTGACAGCATGCTTTTCCCGTATAGCATGCAATATACGGACATGAGTCATGGACTATCCCACAGTCATTAGGAAATAAAAAAGGGGCTTTAGTGTTGAAATGCCATAGAAAGATTCTCAGAAAACAAAGCAGAAAAGAAATACTGACATGCAAAAAGATCTGAAAATCAAGGAAGACAGACTAGCAAACAGCATCCTGTCACTAAAACAAATATTTTGGCCAAAACAAGCGACAAATCACTAGTCTTAGCTAATGAGGGTATAGAGATGGGGCAACCAATCCAATTTCTAATGCTTTGAAAATAAAGTGTATTCTCTCTCTCTCTCTCTCTCTCTCTCTCTCTCTCTCTCTCTCTCTCTCTCTCTCTCTCTCTCTCTCTCTCTCTCTCTCTCTCTCACTAACTCTATTTATTTCCCTATTCTTACTCTCTCTCTTTCTCTCACTAACTCTGTTTATTTCCCTATTCTTACTCTCTCTCTTTCTCTCACTAACTCTGTTTATTTCCCTATTCTTACTCTCTCTCTTTCTCTCACTAACTCTGTTTATTTCCCTATTCTTACTCTCTCTCTTTCTCTCACTAACTCTGTTTATTTCCCTATTCTTACTCTCTCTCTTTCTCTCACTAACTCTGTTTATTTCCCTATTCTTACTCTCTCTCTTTCTCTCACTAACTCTGTTTATTTCCCTATTCTTACTCTCTCTCTTTCTCTCACTAACTCTGTTTATTTCCCTATTCTTACTCTCTCTCTTTCTCTCACTAACTCTGTTTATTTCCCTATTCTTACTCTCTCTCTTTCTCTCACTAACTCTGTTTATTTCCCTATTCTTACTCTCTCTCTTTCTCTCACTAACTCTGTTTATTTCCCTATTCTTACTCTCTCTCTTTCTCTCACTAACTCTGTTTATTTCCCTATTCTTACTCTCTCTTTTTCTCTCACTAACTCTGTTTATTGCCCTCAACTCCGCCCTCTCCCTATTGTTCTGACCACTGATTAGTTTACAGTATTTAATACTCTTTCCTCTACTTCATCAAAGAGAATATAAGTTAACTTCAAAGAAATATCAGTTAACAGAAAGCTGGCCAACAGTACAGACACATTAAACAAAAAATGTTGATAATATTCTCATATTACTTCCTATCCCTTGAGTTGAGTTGAGTCGAGTCAAGAATTGACATCACAGCCCTCGGGGCATTCCCATGCATGCTCCGTCCTCATCTTCAGCAGCCAGCGCAGAGTTCCAAAACTGGTGATACCGGTCACAATCTGGTTAAAAGTCTGTCTTGCCTTTCCTCTGACTGTAGTGAGCCAGCCAGACCCCCTGGTTACACCCAGGTGCCTCATTCCCTCCAGGCCATAATAATCTTCTTTCTCTACCTATTCCGTTGTTTGTTCCCAAAGGGCCTTGACCACATCTGCTCTATTATGTATCAATTCAGAACCCAGTGGTGCGGATTCAGCCAATATGTCTGCCTGTTCATTACCCACCATGCCGGCATCGCCTGAAGAAAAGATCTAAAGTATGCTCACCACCCATGACCTTTCCATTAAAGCTAGCCCCTCTGCTCGAATCATCCCTGTCCTCACCTTTTTCTGCATGCTTTCAGAGTGTTAGAATTATGACATGTGTATGCATCTAGTTCTCTAGCCACCAGAGAACTGCAGTTACAGCCTCCACCTCCATTCTAATGCTAGATATTGTGGTGTCATATGTTAATCTGTCTTGCACTAAAGATTTTCCATTGGCTTCCGCTACGAACTACCAGGCACTTCTCTTCCCTCTCAACTTCCTATCCCTTATAATGAATATTTCTACAGAAGCTTGTATATTCTGTCATTTTTAAGACCGTAAGTGACATGCAGTCGCGGTCTATCTATCGCGGCTGGCGCGTTGTGTTGCAGTTTACAGCCAGGCTGCGATATCTGCACCTCAAGACTCAACATGTCCAATTGTAGCAAACTCTTAATTAATCACCTAATATGACCTGTGAGTGCTGAAAGGATGTATCAATATCCCTGGCATCACACTTTGAAAAGCAAAAAAAAACCTGACACAAAATGGGAACCGAACCCTAACCACCGTAGTGTAAACCAGTGCTATGCCTACCATACCGCAAATGATAACACAATCAATGAACTGGCATGGGCACAAAATCAATGTTCAACACAAACATTCTGGGTCAGAGTGATAAAGCATTAGTCTCTCTCCCGGGAGTATCAAACCATAAAAGAATCAATACACTGAAATGGATACCAAGTGACTGATGGCACCAATAACCCTGGCTGGCCTTAGTGCTAGAATTGGGCTACTTTCACCATCACCCACAGTGAAGGTGTCTCTGAGTCTATTAGTGGATTTGGGGTGGAGAGGTCAACAAGAGTATGATAACTAGCAGGCACAGTTATTTACTGGGTGATGGACAGCAGATACAAAGTCAATTACTGGAAGAATAGTGGCAAGCAGGTTTAATTACTGGATGTTGGGTAAAAGATACAAAATCAATTATTGGATGGATAATGGGCAGCAAGATGAATTAATTACTAGCTAATGCAGTGATTCCCAAACTGTGCGCCGCGGCACACCGGGAAGACATAACTTCTTCACAGGGGCGCCACAAAATATTGTAAAAGCTTCATAAATAATTTAACCAAGATGCGAAAAATCATACTTTTAGGTTAGGGCGCCGTGGATAAATTTTAATTGAAAAAAGGCGCAGCGACCAAGAAAAGTTTAGCAAACGCTGAGCTAATGGGTAGGCAGAATAGTGCTGGATTATGAATACAAAGTAGAATTAATTACTGGATGTTGAGTAACAGATAGGAACATCAATTATTGGATGAAGGGTGGCAAGATTAATTACAACTGTTTCATAGGCAGGCAGCAGAATACTGGATGATGAATAGAAGGTAGAATAAACTTGACAATTCAAAATCAATTATTGGGCAATCAGCAGCAAAACAAATTAATCACTGGAATTTGAGTAACAAGTAGAATTATTTACTGCATAATGGATAAGCTGTAGAATACTGGATGAGTAGAAGGTAGAATTAGTGGATGGTAGGCAACAAGCAGAATTATTTACTGCATAATGGATAAGCTGTAGAATACTGGATGAATAGAAGGTAGAATTAGTGGATGGTAGGCAACAAGCAGAATTATTTACTGCATAATGGATAAGCTGTAGAATAATGGATGAGTAGAAGGTAGAATTAGTGTATGGTAGGCAACAAGCAGAATTATTTACTGCATAATGGATAAGCTGTTGAATACTGGATGAGTAGAAGGTAAAATTAGTGGATGGTAGGCAACAAGCAGAATTATTTACTGCATAATGGATAAGCTGTAGAATCCTGGATGAGTAGAAGGCAGAATTAGTGGATGGTAGGCAACAAGCAGAATTAGTTACTGCATAATGGATAAGCTGTAGAATACTGGATGAGTAGAAGGTAGAATTAGTGGACGGTAGGCAACAAGTAGAATTTACTGCATAATGGATAAGCTGTACAATACTGGATGAGTAGAAGGTAGAATTAGTGGATGGTAGGCAACAAGCAGAATTATTTACTGCATAATGGATAAGCCGTAGAATACTGAATGAGTAGAAGGTAGAATTAGTGGATGGTAGGTGTGATGACCCTGCTTTGCATGGTCTCCACGAGTACATTGTGGCAAGCAGGAAGTCCGTGCTACAAGTGACGGCACGAGATACTTGTGGCCGGTAGAGTAAGCGAGGCGAAGCCCGAGCTAGCCTCGTGGTCAGTCGATCATGAGAAGTCAGAGAAGACGGTTGTAGTATTTTAAGATGTCGTCTTTATGTCGGGCAAATGGTTAATGTTCGAATATGTCGCGAGTGATAAAGTGTGAATAATGTTTGAACATGTGAAATAAATGGACCAGAATAAACTGACAGAATGTACAATGGAGCCGAGTGGCGTTTGTGTTGTCAACCCTAGACGTTAAAGTCGGTGTAAACCAAGGTTCTTTCTAAGCCGAACCAAGGTTCATTCCAAGTAGACCACGATTAATTTCAAGTTGAATCAGAATCATTTCAAGATAGTTGAAAGCGTAACTTCAAGTCTACGTTTTGGTTCATTTCAAGTGGGGAGCTTGTTCGAAGGAAATTCAAAACCACGCGGACCTCAATCATATGAAAACAATTTTTCTTCCAAGGTAAGATAAACATGCGGAAAACAGTGTACATCGTCTTCACCCGAGCAGAGCCTATAATTAACACAGCAAGCGCCGACAGGTCAGCTGCCGACCAATGAAAACCGGTGTGTCATCTACCCCCTGCCACACACCGTATCACTAAGTTTTGCGGATTCAGGAAGTTTCATGTTCACCAAAGCTACACATCGTGAATATTTTAAATCTTGTTTGTGAATTAAATCAGGTTTGTGACCATTAT